AAAGCGGTGGTTGTTGAGCACGTACAAAACGGCATTCTGTAGCCCAAGTCGGCCGTGTCGATAACGTCACAACAAATTAAAGTTAAATGCTGCTCTGAAAATAGTCTCAGCAGACCAAAGTTCGCGAGGTGGGCCAGGTATTAGATAACTTCAATAAACGGTATCCCGACCAGAAAACGACGATGATCGATGGACTCAGGGCGAACTACAACGACTTACGGCTGCTGCGGATATTTGATGCAGCCAAAAGTGACCCCAACATGGAGAAACTGGCAGCAAATTTGCAGAATGTGCTTGTCGATACATGGCTTGCTGCGAAGGAAACCGGCAGATCTTAAACGGATGCGTGATGGTATGCCGACATCGGATAAAATGATTGAGCGATATGTCAAGAAGCTCGACGCGTTGTTGGAGAATTCATTATAGGGGAAAAAAAAAAAACTTGTTCATTCCAGTGCAAATTTTCTGCAAGAAATCAAAAGAGATATTATTCCGTACGGAAAGGTACCAAGGAACTTATACTAGGAATACCTTTTGTATATCGACCGCCCTAAAGGGATTAATTCCACGATACTGCGTAACTCGCTCGATGTTATCCAGCTCAACATTCAGCTGTCATCACCATGTAAGCTGAATCATGAGCAAAAATTGCTTGCCAAAAGAAACCACATTATCTAGTTGTCTTGGTGACACAATTTTGGGACCTCGACTAGGTCGTGACCGTTAATTTGGCTTCAACTAACCAACTAACTAGCTAAATTACTTACTAACTTCATAACTAACTAACTAACGAACTAAGTAACTAACAATCTAACCAAATACCTAACTAACTAACTAACATCATTGGTCAGTCCCGTTTCTCGAATGTAAATGAACTGTACATAACGCAGTGCACACACTCTATTTAATGATAGTTTTGGAGTTTATAAAAAATGCAAAATAAGAAGACACAGGTTATCATTTTTGCAATAAATGGTAATACTGTAGTTGCTCTAGTGTATGCCTTTCGCTTAATAGCTAATTTGGGGAGTTTACATTACCTGGTTCCGGTATACCTTAAATTCGTTAAGTTCGCACTATTCCGGAAATCGACAGAAAAGAGGCAAAATATACTTCCCGCTGTGTTGGCACTTGGTA